TATATATATATATATATATATATATATACACATGCACACACACACTTCTTTTAATCTGATACATTATTTTTTAGCAAGGACACATTTAAATTTATCAAAAGTAACAGTATTTTCTTATTTCAAATAAATGTTGTTCTTTTGAACTCTCTATTTTAAAAATAATCCTAATTTATTACAACCAAACATTGATAATAATAATGTTTCTTGTGCACTAAATCAGCATAAGACTTTCTGACTGACCCCAAACGTTTGAACAGTACTGTAGACAACACAGACATTTTTAAACTGTTACCATAAAACCTTTTATATCTGAGCAAACTGAGCAGAAAAGGCTGCATAATATGAATATGTCCCAGATATAATCTCCACAGATCATAATCTAGGACGTCACTCAAATTTCCCTCTAGACCCAGAAACATTTTAAAGGCTCATTCACGGTGACCCGACAAACACCAACATTTCTACAGTGCAAAAATGGCTATTGGTGTTGGATATGAATTGAAAAATACAGCAGTAACTTGTCCTTATAAACGCCAACATGGTGAACACACTGATATAGAAAAACTCACTAGAAGTTGGTATTTGTTAGGCAGGATGAACCAGACATCAGGGAGTAAATGTTAATTGTTGCAAAATATTATTGGCACATCAGAGACTAATTTAGCAACATAGGAAAGACAATAGCAGCATGACACTGACTCTTTGACTTTTGTACAGACCATTTTCTTTACAATCTCAGTTTAAACTTAACTGTTGCCAATGTTTTATTACACTAGTCACATGGCCTTTCAGCCAGTAGCCACTATTTGAACAGTGCTCATCATTGTCAACTATGTGCTTTGTACTGTTATAGAGGTTGACAATCTTCTTATTTGTCAGTATAATTTCTGATATTTTTTGTGATATTTTTTTATTTATTTTTATTTTCTCTTAACTCTATTTGCAGACTCCCTAGCCTCCCCTTGTGTTGCACTTGTGGTCTTCGGACCCCAGTTTGAAAATCCCTGGCTTGATCAGTCCTTACAACAGTGTTTATAACTGGCAGTTTGACAACATTGCTACAGCATGGCAAAAAGGTGAATGCTGGTCATGTGCTGAGTTGGGCTCTCTGTTTGGGTCTGCTGGCTTGGCAGGGTGTGGAATCAAAGTAATTTGGTGTACTAATTGAGTGAGAGGTATGCGCAACGGCGGTTTCCAAAATGAAGGAGACGTACAACACAGATGGGCCTTAATTTGATGTGGGCTCTATGAAGAGTTGAACATAATTACATAACCTAACACTTCAAAAAAGAACGTGCTCAACGCTGAAGCCACATTTTGTTCTTGGAAGGACACTGAATGCTGTTTGCTACTTACCAGGGGACTCACGCCAGGGATCTGTGTGACCAGTCCCTGACCTTGACGTTTGGAGCGCTGGAGTTGTGCAGCTGTCTTCTCAAACGCCCGTCTGCAGATGGTGCCGGCCAGTGCTCCCAGCCTGCTGAAGCTGGGCTTTGGGCCAGAGGCTCCAACATCAGGCGCCTGCTCTCCCATACTCCCATCATCCTCTGCAAAATAGACATCTTATGTGACGACATAAAGAGTGGAAGGGAGGACTTCTAACTAGGGCTTTCATGCTCTCTTATAGTGCTCCAAACACTCATCTTATTCACTCACTCTCTGTGACAAAACGATGACTGTGAAAGGGTCACAGAGTGGTTAAAATGACTTTATGCAATGAAAAAAAAAAAAGTGGAATTAAAAGATAACAATGGAATGGACAGGCAGAATATTGAAAAGGCCATTAAAATGTATTACAGTTTTTCTCGATTGCTAACACACTATAACGGATTCATTTGGCCCAATTTTCCAAACCATTCATACAGTTCTCGAAACAAAGACACGTTTCTCAAAACTTTGAACACATTTCACCTGTTTGCACATGCGTTCCAATTTGCTCAGTGTTTTCTGCAAAACTCTACACAAAAATGCCATCATTTTGCACAGGTTTAACCATGTTCTCATTTAGAAAACACAAACACACAATATAATTAACTCAAGCATCAAAAAATGAACTCAAACAGCACACGTTTATCCCTGTGTGAACATTAAGTAGCAAAACTGATGACACAAATGTCAGAACCTCAGGATGATATGAACAAGAGCACAGCTGATTATGTGTTTTGGAAAATGAATCCTGGTAGTGGGAGACAAAGAGGAATTGGAGGGGAAAATAAAAATGAAGGGGATGAGGTCAAATTTAATTTGTTCCTGATGAAATACAAAGCACTATAGTTGACCATGTTATTCTGCATGAACTGACCATGAGGGAAGTTGGCCTACAGGCTCATCTAAAATGTTTCAATACTACTTACACAATACACTTACAGTATAATTACAGTACATAGTAGCAGTACTTCAGATGAGAGAACTTTCATTATTCTATGAATAAGTAAATACTGTCTGTAGCACATGTTGTACACCCTCAAACTCATTATTGTTGAATTTATTTGTAGCCAAGTAGTCCTTACATGTACTCTATTTTTGCAGAACTGAGAGACGACTGTCTAGAGGAGGCAGAGAAGTCTTTTGTCAGAAGACTAAGAAACTACTATAACAAATAAGGATACTACCAATACTGTAATGTAATTTGGCAGAAGATGCTGAATGAATGAATACATTTATTTATTTATTTATTTACAGTAACTGACAGTAAATTCCAATGTGTGTTTACTATATATTCTGTTGTTTGGTTTTTGAACTGTTCTCTTCTAGTGCTTTTCATCTACTGTAAGATCTCTTTACAGTAAAATTCAGCAAAAAACTTTAAGAAGTTTTCTTTCGTTACACTACTGTATTTGCATCCCTCTATTTATGTCGTATACTGTAACAGACAAAAGCAAAAGGATTCCTATTTCCCAAAAGGAGGTTTTTGTTAGTGTTTTGAGTTGATCTCACTAGTGTCTAGTCAGTAAAATAGTCTGTGTATTTGACAGGTTTGTGTATCATCTGAGGCCAAAGTTTGAGTCTGACAAAAGAGAACATGTTTTTGACTAAACTATTTGATTTTGAACTGGAAGTTTGAAGTTTGCACAAGTTGGTGTGTAGTTTTGAGATTGTGTTTATAGTTGTGAGAAAATGGTGAATTGTTTCATGAATTGTGTGTTAGCAATCGAGAAAAACTGTAATATAATATATTGACTTACTTTTTTTTTGTATTTAGTAATTTAAAAACAGTATCGTTTTCTATATATATGTGTGTCTAGCATTCAAAAGTTTGGGGTTAGTAAGATTTTTAAAAGTTTTTGAAAAGTCTCCTTTTTCTCACCAAGGCTGCATTATTTGATCAAAAATACAGTAAAAGCAGTAATAGTGTTACAATTTAAATTTAGTGTTACTACTCTATTACAGTATATTTTATAATGCAATTTATTCCTTCTTATGATCAATATTAAATAATGCGCTGTTTAATATTTTTGTGGAAACTGTGGTACATTTTTGGGGAATCTTTAATGACTAGAAAGAACAGCATTTATTTTAAATAAACCTTTTGTAACTCTATAAATGCCTTTATTGTCTGTTTTGATCATTGTATTAAAAGTATTAATTTATTTTAAAACAATCTTAGAAAGATCCGGATGTTTTTGAAAGAAATACTTTTATTCACTAAGATGCATTAAATGATACCATTTGTTTATATTGATTTAACTTATAAGTATATACAATTGAAAATTACATTTTAATTTTTTTGTTGTATATATAATTTTCTTTTACATTTTTTTTATTACATGAATTGGTTTGTGCAGGCTTCACTGTGACAACATAACCCATCTGTGACATGGCCCACTACTGTGACAACTATAGCACTGGTTTCCCACATAGTGGAAAGAAATATATTCCTTCAGGCTAGGAAATGACAAAAACAAAAAGATTGCTGAAATGAAGAAAGAGAGTTTCTTAGCACTATATCTTCAGGGCAGATTTATAAATGATCTCAATACATAAGGGTTAAAAAGAGAAGTTCCTCAGGAAGCACTTCCTCTCTGTGTATAAACAGAACAAACAGCCCCCAATGTAATAATGCCACACATTACTACTAAGCTCAGGGCTACAGAGGCATTCAGGCCCTCTCGCTCAATATCCAACATTAAATGCAATCCAATTCAATTTACAAAGGCAGACAAAACACACACTAAACCGATTCTCTCTGCTGAATGTACCATTAAACATGGCCAAAGAAAGACACAAGCATGAAAAAATGCTCTAACTGTATTGGGATAGAAATAACCAGCAGCATGCTGCTTCTTTAGGGCCACGTGAGGAAGGAATTATCCCGTTTGACACACTTTCACACTCATGGATAAACAAAGGGTAAAACAAAGAGAGTTGAACTCAAGAAACTTTACTTTTCTGTTTCTAAGGAATTAAAGGAATAAGTCAGTTTAGTAAAATATCAAACGACCACATAACATAATGCACTGAATGCAGAAGCTAAACAGGTCAGGAACACATGTAATGCACACTGTCCTTACATAGAGAGGTAAATGTTGAGTAACGCTTTATTTTAAAGGAATATTTCACCCAAAAATGAAAATTTGCTGATAATGTATTCACTCTAAGGTTATCCAAGATATGGATGAATTTGTTCCTTCATCTGAACAGATTTGGAGAAGTTTGTCATTACATCCCTTGCTCACCAGCGGATCCTTCGCAGTGAATGGGTGCCGTCAGCATGAGTCTCCAAACAGCTCATAAAAAGACATCACAATAATCCATAAAAATATAAGTAATCCACAAACTGCGTGTTAGTAATAAATCCATCATTAAGAAGGTTTTAACTTCAATCCATTGTCGGTGGATTTTGTTGTGAAAAGACAACAGGGGATGGAGGTTTTATTTACTATAGGAAGCGTTATTACAGATTATGGACTCATATTGTGGCCAGAAGTAATGGTTTAAAGTTAAAACACCTTAAGGATGGATTTGTTTCTTACAAACATGCAGCTTTTCACTTCACAAGATGTTAACTGATGGACTGGAGTTGTGTGGATTATTGTGTTGTTTTTATCAGCTTGTTGGACTCTCATTCTGACGGCACCCATTCACTGCAGAGGATCCATTGTTGAGCAAGTGATGTAATGCAAAATTTGTCCAAATCTACTCAGATGAAGAAACAAACTCATCTACATCTTGTAAATTTTCAGCAAGTTCTCATTTTTTGACAAACTACTCCTTGAAGGTGATGTAGACTTTTTGTCATAATTATTATGCCAAAGCATGATTTTTTTTCTTGTGTAATAGAAATGGGCTTCCATATTAGTTAAACCCATCCATTCAGCAACTGTATCTACTTTGTTTCATGTTTTTAAAAGTTTTAGTTTTATTTAATAACCCTGCCTTTTTTTTAGACATCAAGCACTGAGAGTGAAGCACTAGGGATAAATTCAAGCCAAAGCCAAAGTTCAAAGCCTTAATAGTTCTGTTCCAAAAGATAAGTGAACGTCTCACATAAACAGATACTAAATAATGATGTGATGAAAACCCTCTTTAAAACATCCTGTTAACAGATGATGCAATTTGTAGCCATGACTGTGAATACGTGCCTCCGGACACATCTCTGTAGAGGAGCAGATGCACAGTGGACACTTAAAGATTAAATATTATAATAAACAGACAGAAAAGAGGGAACAAGGCTACTACAGTTCTTCCAGGCAATGAGTCACTAAACTAGATCGACACTTATTCAATCCAGGGCTCTCTATTAACTTTATTCATGGCTCTGAGACTTGAACCACAGCAATACAGTCCACAACAGAATAAAACAATATAATACACCTGTTGTTACAAAACAGTTTGCAAAGACAATGTTTTCATTTAACAGATACAATTGCAAAATGGACAGTCTAACTGAGGGGTGTCCAGTCCTGCTCCTGCAGGGCCACTGTCCTGCAAAGCTTAGCTCCAACCCTGAAACAACTAATCAATGTCTTCAAGCAACTTTTAAAAAATCCAGGCAGGTGTATTGGGGTAAGGTGAAGCTAAACTCAGACGCTGTAGTCAAATTTGACAAAATTATTATGAACCCATCGCGTTTCAGGACTTCATCATCTCTTTAACAATGAAGTTTCAGCGACATCTAGTGTCTAGTCTTAAAAGCACATGCATTTTGCTGGGGCCACACTGAATTTATTTGATATTTATTTGAGATGATTTTCTCCCAAGGAATACAAATGAAGAAACAAATGAACATTCACTAAAAACATACAGCTATATACTGTAGGACTACATTAAGCATATAAGAATATCAGAATACCTGTCTCAGTTGAAGATACAGGAAGGACAAAGTCGACCAGGTTTTCCAACAGACTAAGAGCCCTGTCAGCTCTCTGCTCAGCCAGGCAGACAAGCTTGCTGTTAAGGACATAATGTATGCTGTCACTTAAGGCATTCTTACTCTGCTGGTACCCAGTAGATACCTTGTCCAATACAACATTAGAGGTATGTTTGATTGGACAGGCAACATTATCCTTGGCAGTTTCCAAAGTTGATGACACCAGCTCCTTGATGCTTGCTGTTAGCTGTTGTGAAGGAAGCAGAAGAAGGACATTTTTGTTTAAAATACAGACATTTTACTATACTTGTATATGCATCTTAGCTAAATGTGTGCCCACAGTTAAAATAAATACAATTAACAACTTACAGAGCAGTATTAAGAAACCAGTTTTGGATATTTGAAGCACATTACCTCTTCAGGTGGATACTGCAAGGCTGGTACCTTTTCCTCCAAGTGGTCCAGTCCTCTGCAGGCCAATGAGTTGGCTGCTACAACTACGAATAATATAATTTTCATACAAATGCAGAACGTTAATATTTTATAACTTGGTTAAACGTCAAAATATATTAAACACATTTTTCATTAATGCAAGCATATGCTAATTCATTTGGCAAAACACATGAACAGCTTCTTTCAAAATGTTTCCCCAGCTAATGCTAAGCCTTACTAACTCCTCTGGAATTCATGAGGCTGACCTTTAATTTCTGAAATTACTGCTGAACTGATCTGGAATGTTTTTATTGCCTTGTAAATGCCTTGTTAATGTTCATTATAGAAACAGATCCACTACGTATGTGGATGAAATATTGCATACATTATGTACACTACCATTCAAAAATGTATAGAAGTTATTTTTTTAAAACGGGTTTCAAAGAAGACTCTTACACTTTCCAAGCATACTTTTATTTAATCAGAATTATTATTTTTTTATTTTTACAATTTAGAATAACATATTTTTCTATTTTAATATAGATTCGAGGGCTATCAAATCGATTAATCACGGTATCACATCCACAATAAAAGTTTGTGTTTACAAAAATACATGTGTGTGTATTGTGTATATTTATATGTATATATAAATACACACACATACATGAATATATTTATATATATATATATATATATATATATATACAGTACACAAATATATATTACTCAAACACAAACTTTTATTGTGGATGCGATTAATCATGATTAATTGATTTGACAGCCCTAATATTAAACTATAAATTTTTCCTGTGATGCAAAGTTGAATTTTCAGCAGCCATTACTCTTAAGTGTCACATGATTCTTCAGAAAACATTTTTATATGCTGATTTAATGCCCAGGAAACATTTCTTAATATTTTCAATTCCTTTTTGATCAATTTAATGCATCCTTGCTGAATACAAGCATTCATTTCCTTCAAAATAATAATAAAAAAAAGACCCCAATTGATTTTATTTTTGTGGTCTGTTAAATAAATTTGAGAGGGAAAAAAAAGAGAAAGAAATTAATATATATTATGTAGCACCAGACTG